CTCAGACCCAACCTGAACAGAGAGTCTTTACAGGACAGAGTATCAGAAGCTCCAAACACAAAGGAAGTGCACTCAGTAGTATTCCTCAATGGGAAACACTTTTCTGTTGCTTAAGCTGTTGGACTTCAGTATCCAAATTCTGCTCTCCTGAAGAATTGTGCCCCTGCATGGATGGCACCCCATCTCTCCTTCTAAGAGATGGTTTTCAGTCAGTTGCTGTACACCACAAGTTACTCTGACATCTGACTACTCCATAACAGGCTGGTTTTGGACACAATTTAACCAAAGAAGTCAACTCTGTTAATGTGTTCCACAGTACCAACTATAACTTTTAACTAAATGAAGACCTGTCAAAGGTTGTGTTGCTTTAGAATTTGGCACTGAAGCAGCAAATAAACAGATAATCTCCTCATTCATCTTAACACCTTACTATGTAATACAGAGTCTCCCTGAACACTGCATTATTAAATGCCCCAAATAATGGGTGTTGTTGTTGTCATTCAACCAAAATATAAAACAGGATTAAGAAACTGATATTTTTTTAAAGGAATGGAGCACAGAAGAGAGGAGACATTGCATTCAATTAGGCAGCTGAAAATCTAACATAGACAATTTTTTAATCACTCGATTTATCTATTATTAAGTACCCAAAGCAGCGGTATCAGGCTTTGGCAGTCCAGTATTAATATGTAAACTGATGGGAATCCTGTACCTTTTCACCCAGAAAATGACAGTAACAACACAAACACTGACACAGCTGTGTAGAAGCAAACTCTTCTCTCTGTAGTTACCTGAGTTATTTGAGTTGCTGTATTTTGCTGAGTGTTCCTCTCCACTTTCATAGGCAGAGCGTTTTGACTTCTTTAAAAAGGAAGCAGAAGAAACAGAAGATGGGAGTGAATAATCACTTTCCACGATAAGGGTTGAACTGACACAGATTTGTAACAGCAATCCACTGTGTCAGACAAGGCTCATCAAGGCCCAACATCCCTCTCCCCACACCAGCACATGCTGACAGGGTGACCACAGCAGCAAGGCTGTTCTGTGCTCCAATACCTCCAGGCAAGCACCAGGGCAACTCCAGGGCCCTCTGACCACAAGGGAAAGGCAAAAACCGATCCACCAGAAAGGAAGAGCAATGCAGAGTGCTGCAGGAGCTGACCTGAACAGGCTCCAATGCCCTCCCTGGGCAGGAGGAAGCAGCACAGCTGCTCATCTGTGTCTGAGCTGGTACCGAGATTGGTTTCATACAGCAACCTCGAATGGGTTAAACCTATCTCCAAGTCAGTTATCATTGTAACTCAAACTTTTTAGGAAATCTATTGCTTAGCTACAGAAGTGAAAACCATCAGGAAGTAGTACAGAAAAACACAGGAAAGAACAGAGCCACATACCTGTGGCTAAACCTGTGCATGCTAAACACTAAAAAAAGAGACAGATCTTTTTCTGTGTGAGAAACCTAATTAAAGATTGCTCACTTTTCGTGCTAAGATCTTTCTTTTCTTTTTTTCTTCTTCAGAGCCATGATGAGATTGAGCTCTTGTCAGCCTTCTGTGCTGGTGAATCTTCAAAAGAAGGAAAAAATAGAAAAAGATCATGTTAAGATCTTAAATGTTCTCAAACAACACATCTGGGGTACAAGAAAACACACTGCAGTCACTTTGCACGTTTAATGGGTTTTTTTCCTTTTTAGTTTTTATCTTTACTGTTGCTGGTAGAGGATGGAGACACACTGCAGTTAAAATGATCTTTGAATTTAGCAGCCACTGCCTGAGAAGCTACATCACTCAAAACAGTGAAATGCCACACAGCCAACAGCTGTTCTACAGCTCCTCATACTGTGTTTTTTGGGAAAGAAATATGTTCATGAAAGACTCAAAATCACTTTTGAGTAAAAACTCACTTTCTGCATGTAAAAGCCATAAGAGGAAATGAAATGTCTGTAGGAAGTAGAGAAATGCAAACATTACCAATTTCTGTTCTTCTGTTAATCGCTTTTCTATGCATTCCTTGGAGATTTTCAACGCCTCTTTTAGCTTAGTAGGAATCTAATACAGAGTGGGGAGAAAAATCATAGCATAAAATGTGATAAAGGAAAAGACAACTTTACTGCTCAAAACCCATCATTCATCTGATCAGGTTGCTCATCCAAAGCCCCAAGTTCTGGCACTGTTCCCTTGGTGAGGCAGAAGAGTCTAGATGCTTGGTTTTCCACCCCAAACCTACCTACAGATCTAACAGCAGGGACAAAAAACACCAAATGGTGGATTGGATGCTCTAAAGGCAGAGACAGCTAACTCTTGATACTCCAGTCACATCCCCACGTTGCCATGAGGCTGACAACACAAGACACATGGCACATGTCTGCCAGGAGAAGTGCCCTGGGGCAGCTCCTCAGTGGAGCAGATGTGACTCCTGATGGTCTCACCTAGCAAAATCAGTTTCCACAGGTCTTCACACTGTGTTTCCTATCACTGCAAGGGACCGACATTACTTAGCAGCCTCTGCTCAGATAGAGCATCATTGCTTACACAAATGGACTCACTAGGACACTCACAGGTCACATTGTGTCTCCTCTCTAAGTGGTGATAGAACGTTCTTGGGGATAGTCCATCCACAGAATCCAAATACTGATGGCAATAGCCATACAGGCAAATAAAGGCAGCTCTCCTCCCTCTGTCAATTAATATGTAGCTACCCACAGCCTGGCACTGCCACAAACATCAGCAAATCAATGTTCGACTCTACCTTAAACTGTGGTTTCTCAGAGTTTGTTAGCAGGACGTCACTGAATAATCTGTGAGTGGATAAAAATAGAGAAAAAAGAGGAATATTATTCCCAAGAGATAAGCCAAACCACAGTGAGAATACTACAGGTAATGTTTGCTTAACTCCCTCTTTCTCCTTTTCCTTCTCTGCCCTCATCCCTAGGCCACAGTTTGGTTTTTTTCCACAGGTTTTTATGTACAGCTTTTTGTTTTCCAAGCAGTGCTGTAAAATCACCAGCATCCAATCCTCAATGTAGCCACTACTGATGGCAAAGAACACAAGTTTGTGTGATATATTTTGACAGTTGATGGAACAGGTAAAATCATCAATGGCAGAGAAGGCTTCCCCCCAAAAAGAACACCTTTTCCTTAAAAGTATGTGGATTATTTAATCACAAAAGATTTCCAGGGAGTTTATTTTAAATTTCACCTCAACAAAAACACTGCTCTCGTTAAGACAATTATCTTAGGGCTATTGTTCTAGTATTAACAAGCAACATGTGAAAGATCAAAGAGTGAACTTAACATTTGAAATACCCGTATTCTTGTCTGTACTCTTCAAAAGGCAACTAAAGCAAATATTCTAATATTTTTGCTCTCCCCTCTGTAGTATCATTAGCAACAGCATGAGTGATTAATCCTTTTCGCTCCAAAACAAAGACACTAGAGGGCAATGGTAGTCTGAAAATAAACTGGTTAGTCCATTTCAAGATACTCTGTCCTGGAGAACATACTAGAAAACTGTCCCAGAAAGAGATCTCCAAGATAAATATTTCAGAGATCCTTTGTGGCTGTTCACTATGGGAGATTATCAAAGGCTTATACTAGAGAAAACAAATTCAAGTCTAGAATCAAGTTTATGAGAGTATTCCATGAAACAAAAATCAGAAATAAAGCAAATTTTAAAATACTTTTTAAAAACCCCATGAAAGTTCACCCTTGTTTACAGGGCTCTCTGACCCTTTCTCATAACATGTCCTTGTGAAATCAAGTGGAATAAATAAAATAACTATTTTAATTACATTAATTGCTTTAAAGGACACTAATTGCATTGCACACCTACACAGAACACTTTCATGAAGAGTATTGGTATGAGGAGAATGTATATCTCACATATCAGATGCAGCTGGGCATGGATTGTTTGTTCAAGGTCTCTTAAGACCTGCACATTCCTGTACTGACAGAGTTTTCTTAGAGTATTTCTCCCCTGCTTACATTCTTCTCTCTACCTCCCACCTGCCTTAAGAGCAGAGGAGGGGAGAAGAAGGATTTGAAGGCTGCAGTGACTCTTCCCAAGCAAGAATTCTGAACTTCAGAGTGTGCTCTAAATGCACTGCAATCTGTGTGCAGTGAGATCAGACCCAGATAGAGGTATGGATGATCTGTCATTTGCAAGGTCCTGACTCTGGCATCTCACATGAAGGGAAAAAGACAAGAGCCTCCCAGCAGAACTGTGGGTCCATGCTCAGCAGGCTGGGGCCATGTCACAGCACAGAGCCAGCAGCTATTGCCCTGGTAGTGCTGAGTGCTGACTGCAGACAGGGTGGCACTGCAGGCAGGTGTCATCTCTACTCAGTCACACACTAACAGTGCTCCCTCTCTGCATCCTGGCCTTGCCCCACACCTGTCCTCACCCCTTCACTGGGAGGACAGTCTGTGAGGAAATTTATTGTCTCTGTTTCACAGAATCCCCAAGCCAGCCCTGCAAGAAACCAGTCAGAACTTTCACACAACACTTCACACCCAGAGCCAGCCTAATATCACTGCTGAGCAAAGCAAGAGATCTGTTTTGCCAGCCATAGGTGAACTGATAGCAAAATCTACTGAAGTAGGTCTGAAGGGAACATGCAAAAAAACTCCTTAGTCTAAATGCTTTAAAACAATCTGTACATGATCTTAAATATGTTTGCAGTACTTTAATAGCTGGATCAATTTAAACCACGTTAAATAAAGTGCATTGATAACAGCTCCAGCACACCAAGAGACAAAGAACTGTTGAATGCGTATCTATCCTATTCACAAGGGATAAGTCCTATAAAGTCTATCAATTTTAAAATTCGTTTGGGACACACTCTACAGCCCTCAGAACGAGGAGCAAACCCTTCCAAAAAGAAACAAGAGCAAAAAGATTCTTCCTCCTCATATAATTAAAAACATTGCTGTGAGTCTAAACCAAACAGAACAGGACTTACGGCATCTGTAAGAGCCGTGAGACAGTTGGCATTCCATTCTTCAGGGCTTCACAGGTCAGAATGGATTCCAACACTGACACTACCAAAGAAAGAATAAGAAGTAACACATTTTTGCATGGCAGGACAGCAAATGATTTAGAATGAAGCTCTGGCACTGCTGTGTGAAGTCTCCCTAAGCATTGCATCCACCGAGCAGTGATGAAGCTCTGTGGCATGTGTTTTTTATTACAGAGTTACTATTACACATACAAACTTCTCAAGAATGTTAGATATGAGGCAAGGGAATCCACCAGGCATCTCATTACTCACTAAACACTGCTTTATCACTCAGTCACAAAAGTTTTATTTATACACTAAATATATTTTATGAAGAGCACATTTTCTGTTTGACCAAATTACTAACTCGTTCTTTCTGGTCACAAGTTGCAAAGATCTCAGGCTGCTGTGACACAGCTTAGGTAAAAAGCTAAGAGTGTAGCCAGGAAGCTGTGACTGACACGTTCTCCATTGCATACTAACCAACAGACATTGAGGGTGCAGGGGGGAAGTTGTCTACTGGAATTGTGTCTGGAGGTCTTCCATATGTCATTTCATACAGTAAGTGTCCAAAGCAATGTACATCAACACCTTCTAGAGTCTGTGGAGAAACAAAAATAAAACAAATAAAGCCATAAATTGTTAGTTTTTCACAACTGGTTAACTCATTACAGAAAAATGGTGATCTTGTATGTGAAGATAGAAAAGAAGAATCACTAAGGCAATTCCTAACCACAACCATTTCCCTCTGTAACTTTAGCTCAGATGGAATCTTCACTCCTCAAGCTAAAGCAGCTACTGATGTCACTGTGTATGTGGTGATACAAATGGGACAAAAGTATTGTCATGTTCTGAAAAAATGTGTAAGGGAGTCAACTCTTTTCACACAGCAGTTTGGAGAGCCATACATGACAGAATTCACAACCAAGCACATTTTGCTAGCTAAGTCAAACAGCAAAACATGAGATGTATAATATGACCAGCTGCCACTTTATAGGGAGGTGGATAAAAAGGCAGAAACAAATACAAACCAAACAAACCTAGGAGAGTCTCTTTTGCCTCCTCCTTAGGTTTGTGCAAGCTGTACATACATGCTAAGCTCCCAGACAGCATATTTCCAAGATTTTTGAATCATGTTTAAACAGAAAAGGCTCCTCTTACTGGAGGAGGTTTAAAGCTTTGATGGCACTAACAGATTTGGACTAACCATGAACTTTTGATCGTTTCTTTGACAACACAGTAGAACTTGTTTAGCAAGGTCAGCAAGCAGCTACCCCGTGATGCTGTATGGAATTTATTACAATGAGTGCCTAAAGGCAGGGCAAGATTTTGGCTGTATTGCTGCAACAGGGCAAATTTGTTTTCATAGTTTTGCAGGAAGATAATATTTTGCTCTGCACGCCTGCAGCTAACAGACACCCTTCAAACAAATAAAGACCAGCTTTGGAGAGCTAGACATCTGCAAGCATCTGAGCAGTTTTCACAGTATCCACCAAAGACAGGGCTGGTTACTGCTCCCAGCTAAGCACAAGGAATAAGCTGCACTCACTGGACAGACACAAGTGAAAAAGTGTGGTAGACACTATGCACATTCCTATGAAATACAAGACCAGGGTGGAAGGAGATCTTAAACCAACTGCAGTTTACCTCTATTTTTGTCAGCACTGTTGTCATGAAAACACTCACCTGCACTCCCCTTCTACCTACTTACCTTTGGCCTCAGCCTCACTCCAGTGTGCTGCAACAAAACTGCTGTGCAGCCAGACAGTGATTTGGAGGAAGCAGAAAAGGGATTTGATGGAGAAAAACTCAGATTAAAAAAGGGGCTTGAGAGAGGTTGTTTTCAGTCTAGTCAGTTCTCCACAAACAAAGGTTAAGGATAAAGAGATGCATAAGTATCAGCTGAATTAATTGTCTGAATCTTACATTAATTTTCCGAAACTGTGAAAAGTAGGATCGATAAAATGATGGAAGTCCCAACAAGGAATTTTCTAGATCCAGTAACTTGCAGGTGTCCCCATCCAACATCACATTGGCAGAGTGAAGATGGCCATAAGGAAATCCTTTCTCATGCAGGAATTTTAATACCTGAAAAAAACCCCAACACAGCAGCACTGTCACAAGATGCTCTGATGATCCCGAGATCATAAGATCATCAGCTTAAATGCTCCAATACTAAAGCAGATACATAACAAAAGAGGCCCCATTTGGAATGCTCCCTCAACCTGATCTTCTGTCTACCTCATCTTTGGCTGACTATTCATTCCCATTTCACTGCTAACACTTCTCACAAAACAAACACTTGAAGCTAAAATTCACAATTCTACTGACTATAATAGTATTAGTAAAAGAAGTTTCAAAAACACATTGATGACCATCAATTTATGGCACACGTTCTGCAGGCTATGAATTACTTCTTTTTTACACAAGGAAAAAAACTACATCATCACCTCTCTCCCACTTATGCTACACACACAACAACTGCATTTATTTTTTTCTGCTCATAAGTGGTCTCACACATATATATCTACATTCAACTCCAGCAGCTAATCTCAATTTACACTTAGCTTTGAACTCTGCTGCTGAAATAAAACTTGTGTGCTCCCAAGTTTGTCTACTTTTTCTAGTTATGCCAGGTGGCCTAAAAAAAAATCATAAGGGCTGGTAAATAAAGAAAAAAACCACAAAAGTACCTCTAATATTTGCCTTCCATATGTTTTTATTTGCTGAAGTTCAAGACCTTGAATTTTTTTAGGATTGCAATACTTCTTCAGGAATGGGTCTTTTGGCTTTGCCTTTAAAAGAAACACACATATCAGGTATCCTGCCCAGAAAAGTCAGTATATGTCTTAGTTTGCTTAGCAATATACTGCAAACACTTTTACAAAAGACACACTATGGTCATTCCAGCAAACATTCTGCCATTTGAGTTGGGCGTTGAGGGGAGACATTACCTTGTAAATAAGGTCCTTTAGTGTCCCTTTTTCACTGAATGGTCTAATAACCAGCGCTGAAGATTCATTGGCAGTGGCAAAAGTGATTTTGTAAATGTAGGGATGCTACCAAAAGAAGAAACTGTAGGTAAATTTTAGATGATGGATTTTGTAATGCATTTGTGTTCAATTCACAAGTAAGAAAAGACCTGCCTGAACTGTATAGTTAAAGTAATAAACTGCATTCTGTCTGTGACATTTGCTCAAGTCATTCAATCTTAACCTGGAGTAAATGCAAGGAAAAATTCACAAAGACATTGTTCAATTTCAACACAAATTAAAAAAACCATCCACTATCTTCCTTTAGCAGCACAGACTGGCAGTTTAGACAAATGAAAAATCCAGCATTTATTCATGAGCAGCTTTCCTGCATGTTTAAGTCATGCTAAGCTAATAAATTCATTCCTAGTTTTATACAACTATGGCACATAAGGAAACAGCATTAATAGCTGTCATAAGAGCTTTATCTCTTCAGAAATTATTGTAACAACTTCCTGCAACTTTGTGAAGCTGAATGAGAGAGCACAGTTGGAAATAAATTCCTCATGCAACACATACACCAACTGCAGTTGATTGTTAGGAGGAGATCCCTTGTTCATGTCTTGTTTTAATATATCAGCTGCAGCCTGCTTCAGCCTCTCCTGTTGACTGCATCTGCTGAGTCCCAGGAGGTTTACCAGATTAAATACCATCCTCTTCAGCCAGTCTTTCACATGCTTAACATCCTTAAAGATAAACTCCCTCTGGAGTCACATGCCAGTTTTTCAGGAAGAGATGCCTATTGGATTTATAATGTGGCATTGCACATGAGCTTGAAGTGTGCAGCCTCCACTGCAGCTCTACTAAAATAGTCCTGTCTTAAGTTTAAGTAACTTTAAAAACAACACCACTCGTTCCACTGCCTCATCCACTGCTGCCTGAGAATGCTAAGCTGTGAGCTGGGAAAAATTACACCTAGACAGCACTGTTCTAACAGCCTAAAACTGCTGAGGAGCTGAAATAAAAGCTCATGATCCCACAGTACTGCACAAGCAGAAATAAATTAACCATAACATGAATCTCCTGTAATAAACCTGCAGGATTATTGTGCTGAGAACATGTTGCCTCATAATATATGGGAAATGTAATTAAAAGGTTTGCAAATCTTGAAACGAAAGCAACACTAAAATGACAAACTGTGTCTACTAGGCTACATGTGCTTTCGCAAGATGAGTCCTTGACACACACTTTTGTGCTGGCACAATTTAAGAATCTTCAAGTCATACTCACAGAGCAGGAAGAAAGGAGTTTCACAGCATACTGTAAGTCTTTGTCAGACAAATACTTATCAGGGCCAAGATCAGCCTGGAAATAAATAGGAAAAGAATGGTATCGTAACAGATGTTGCATTCCATACAGAAAATGTGATCTATATTCTGCCCATACAGATTCAGGCAGATGTTTGAAGGTATATTTTGAAGAGCAAGCAAGGAAGTTACACATACAGAATGAAACCTGAAGAGGCTGAATAAAGCAATGGTTCTACAACACAGAATGTCTGACCATAAATAAGCACCACTGACTCTTTCCTCCCCCAGATCTGATGTGCATTATTACCACTGAATGAACTCTGTCAACCCCCAAACTGGGAAACTGTGTGCATTGTGACCTGATAAGGCTTAACCCCCACCTTCTTCCTCTGCAGCAAAAACAACTTCCCTCCTACTGCAGGCTCCAGTGACCTCCACTCTCCAGTGAAGGTTCACTAACAGCTGTGTTCACACTATTAAGAAGTCAGCACATTTCAGCACATATACAGGAGTGTAAAAAAGTGTTGTTCCAGGAGCAATTCATGCCCCTCTCACCTATTAGCTTGTCAGTACAACAAAAGACCTCAACAAGAATACCCACCACTTGAAAGATCATTTTCAGTGAGCAAATTTATACTGTGGTCAACAGCCACATCATTGCAACTAAAGAATCCTGAGGTACAGGATTGGGAATGAATATCCAGGCACAGAAACTTGCAAACTGGATTTGCCATCAGAGGAAGGAAAGACAAGAATTTCCCACACCAAGTATCCACCAAAGGGCTTTCAAGGCTCTTTGAAAGCCTGAGCTCTAGTCTCTCTCTCTCTGTCACTCAGGCATGGTAGTCAATATAAATGAAACAAGCCAAGTTCATTGAGAAAGATTAGAGTATGAGATGAAAGCATAGGTACCCAGCTTAACACCAGCCGTTCCTTTGGTTGATTCTTAATCTTCATTAGGAAATATTTCTTACGTATTCGCCAACCTACAAAACAAAAAAGCCATCAGCAGCTTTAACTAAACACCAGTAAATCACACAGCTTACAGGCAGGACAAGGTCTGTAAGCAAAGTATTTGAATCTCAGAACAACTCTTATAGTTGGGGGGGAAAAAATCAGACAACTTTTCATGCACACATCATCTTACCTATATCTTTTAATGGCT